CCATGAGCCCATTAGCAGACACTGATGTAGGATGTTGCACCCAATTGCTTGACTACTTCAGGAAATCAAACACCCCTCCAGAACAAATGCAATCACTGGCCCTTGAGACAACCAATGTCAACTATCCTGCAGATCAATGGCTACAAGTCTTCACTGATGGGTCTTACGTAGAAAACCAAGTAAACGTTGGTGCAGGTGTCTACTCTGAACTCTTCTCTTTCTACGCAGCAGCAGGACACAATAGATTCGCTTTCGAAGGAGAAATAGAGGCCATTAGGATATCACTAAGTCAATTATGTTGCCTTGATACGAAATTCACCAAAGCAGTAATACTTTCGGACTCACCGTCAGCAATAAACTCAACTGGAAATAGAGAGCCACCCAAAACAGCTGAGATAAACGAATGTAAAAAACTCTATCAGCCGCGAAGAGAGAAAAACAAAATAGTGGTCCTACAATGAATTCATGGTCACTGTGGCACTAAAGGCAATGAGCTTGCTGACACACTTGCTAAGAAGGATACAACAATTTGGTAAGGCATAGACCGCCCGATGTCTTTCACACAATGAAAGCCTTAATCAGGAGAGACCGATGTGTGATTTTGCAAGTTGACACACTTGCTAAGAAGGGGACAACGAGTGTGCAATTCTGACACACTCGCTAAGAAGGGGACAACAATTTTGCAATGCATGGCCCGGCCGATGTCTTTCCACCCAATGAAGGCCTTAATCAGGAGAGACCGATGTTCGCACACAATATACAACAATTTGGTAAGGCATAGACCGCCCGATGTCTTTCACACAATGAAAGCCTTAATCAGGAGAGGCCTCAAGGTGCAACGAACTTGAAGCTCGAACCAAGGAGAAACAGTAGACAGTGGCACTCTCCGACATAGCCAACTGGCCAAGAATCGAAGCCGTTGCTGAGTTTAGACTACGCACCGGACACGATTGGCTGGCAAAACACCTTCACAGATTGGGAGTATACACGCAACCCACATGACCCCTATGTAACCTACAGGAGGAAATGAAGATGACCCACCTGATTCGATGTCCAGGCCTAAAGACAACGACGGAAAGCCAGAGATACTGGGAAGCAAGAAGACACCTAATGAACTTCTATTAATTAACTGTTATATTGTACCCTCACCCATGGGGTAAGCTGAAGTCAAAGTTTAAGGGCTAATGATGAATGTCATAAAGCGTACCATTTGAAATTTTAAAAAATTGGAAACGGAAGATTTTAACAAGCACAGTTTATAAACGCAATGGGAATACAAATAAAGATTTACTTCCGATCAAAGTGGAACGTTCTGGCAAAATTGAATTTAACCAACGGAAAATGATCAATTCTATTGAATTACTGGAAATTACGAGTTATATTGCAAACTGAATTTCACTCTTATTATAATATACTATATATAATAATATTAAATAAATAATATGTATTAGAATATGGTGTTTTACTTACTGATTAAATAACCTGTGTGCTTGAGAACAATAACAACGTTCCTTTTATCACGAAATCTCAAGAGCATTGCGCCATTCACCATTAAAAGGAGAATAATTGAAACAAATTTTACAATTCACAAAGCGAAGAAAAATTTTTACAAAAATATATCAGACTTTCATTTTAATGTAAGAATCATGTTTTTTGTAAGTAATGCTTGATGGAAGACGTGTTCATTCATGATAGACTGATTGA